GAGCAGAGGGGAGGAGCAGAGATGTAACATGTGTTGTCTGATCACATTCCTGGCCTCCAACCCCAATATTCACACCTCTGTTTTGTTTTGATGACACAGTTTCTGCTATGTGCTGGTTTTGAATTTAAGTGTTCAGCCCCAGCTTATTCATGGTAGTTTTCTGAATTTGCTTTCCATATGGGCTCTTCTAGACCCTGTGGGAACTTGGTGACTAGCTTGTGTCTGTGATCCTGATCTTGCATGTAGGGATAGAAACTGGGAGGTTAACACCAAGGCACGTGGGTCATGATACTCAGCACTCAGGCGTCTGTGCTGGATTTAGGAGTCTCAGCTCCCAAGCAGTGAAGGTGCAGTCAATATGGTGAAATCATATAGATTCACCCTGCAGTGGGACTCTGATCTACACTGGGGAATTCCTTTCTGGTTTCTATTCATTATATTGTCATGTAATACAATTCAGCTAATTGAACATAGGTGTCTGATGTCATTTGAGCTGCCTGAGGATGTCCTGCCATTCCAAAATGCTCGAGTCTCCAATCTTCCCTGTCAAATCTGGCAGTCTTAGGATATCTTAAATGGCCTCAAGTAACTGGGAAACTGGAGTGAGTCCACCGTGCCTTTTGCTTTCACCAGAAATTATTTTCTTTTCTGTTCCTTCTCCTTCAAATGTAGTTCAAAGTTTATTCAGCAAATAGATACAATTTACTTTTGCCTTGTAGTTAAGAATGGACATAGGTACCAGGGTGATCAAAGCTAAGAAAAATTCTTTACTTATGTTTCATCTGCACTGTACAAACGTTCTTCAAAGGAGGCTTAAAGCTCAACAACTGGTCAGTACTCGGTGTCAGAGCTGACATTTTTATCAGTTAGCTTTTACTCCTTACAGAAGTCTCCCTATTTACACACATAACAGTGTATGGAAACAATATATCTTTTGCAAGCAACTGATATTCAAGAACGTTGATCCTATAAGCTTCATTATATTTTAAAAGAAGATTTGCCATTGACAAGATTTTTTTTTAATCAGCATTTGGGCAAATGAGAGAAAAGATTGAGAATCATTCCCTACCACATTGCTTTTGCCTGGAAGGGACCAGATCTTTAAATTACCTTGCACTAAACATCTCTAGCTTCCTTGTTTGCTTTGGTAGTACATGTCTACAATATTTGCAAGGCAGCGAGGAGCAAGGTTGTCTTTGGTGACTGAATAGCAGTAATTCGTGAACAGGTCATAATTTTAGGTTTGTGTTGCACCTACTTAAACAGATATAAATGGAAACAGAGCTTTAAGAAAGAAGCTGAATGTTTCAGCCAAACTTGTTAATGTACATAAAGTCATTAATTAATTAATTAATTCATTTATTTTAGATGGCAAAGAGTTTGATGCGTTCGTGTCCTATGCAAAACTGAACTCTTCTGAACGTGAGTCTGCTTTAATTAGTGAGGAAAAATTTGCCCTGGAGCTCCTTCCAGATATGCTAGAAAATAAATATGGATACAAGCTATGTATTCTTGAAAGAGATATTCTTCCAGGAGGAGGTAAGGTCCCTGGGCATGGTAGAAAATCTTCAGTTTTTATAAAATTGTGTTTCACTTTGCAAAAAAATATGCACCAGAGCAATAAACTGTATAATTAGGTAGTGGAATTTATGTTCAAATCTCACAATGTTTTGATCTTTGTGTCTGGTCCCTGCACCTGACACATACATACTTTGGAGTGAGGTCACTGTGAGCTGAGACGAAGCTTCTTGTGGAAGAATTTCTTTGCAAGCAGACTCCATTCCCTGGAAAGAAGACTTCAAATATTTCAGTAGTTACTTTTTGAGCAACTTTAGGCAGTGCTACCTCAGTAATTAGAAAGCCCTGTGTATCTGCTCCTGGGAGAGACAAAGACAAGTCCAAGTGTCCCTTAAGACCCTGTGGAAGTGTGTGAGCTGTGCCCTTCATGTCCTGTGCAGAAAGTTGTGTACTTCAGCTGCATAAGAACAGACACGGTACCTTCTGATAGCAAACACATTTCTAGGCATTATGTGTTTGCTCAGCATTCCTGTTCTTGACTTATTTCTGGGTTTTAGCTGTTGATAAAGGAACTGATAAGATAAAAACTCCTTTGCAGATTGCAGTAACTCTCACCATTTCCTCTCCAGCATACACAGATGAAGTTGTCACAGCTATTAAACAAAGCAGACGGGTAATAATTATTTTGAGCCCAGCCTATGTCAGTGGACCAAGCATGTTTGAACTGCAGGCAGCGGTGAATTGTGCATTGGAAGACAAAGGGATCAAACTGGTATTAATAAAGTTCCAGGATTTCCAAGAGCCAGAGACTTTGCCTCCAGTAGTGAAGAAAGCACTTCGGATTTTACCCATCGTTACCTGGAAGTCTTCCATTTCTGCTGCTCCACACAAGAAGTTCTGGAAATACATGCGTTACCATATGCCAGTGAAAACTACTAAGAGGCTGGAAAACTGCAGCCTCAAGGGCTTATCCCAAAGGTTATTCAGACTGGTATATTGATAGGAGAAATTCCCCAGGGGGATGACATCAGGAATGATAACAGGATTGTCAAAGACCTTTTTTATATTGTCTGACCACTGTCAACTGTTACTACAGCAGCAGTAGCTCGCTCTGAAAGAGTCAGAAGGACTGAAGTTTGACAGTGCACAGCAAAACTGTTCCACTGCACACAACCTTAAATGTTTAAGGATTAATTATATTTAATAAATTAATATTTTATTACAATTTTTATTATATTTATTATACAATTTCACTCTGATTTTGAGACATACAATGTTCTTTGCACTGTATTCCTTTCTGGAATATTTTAACACTTGTTTTCTAGAAAAAGATTAATAAAAAGGAACTCCAGAGGAAGCTTGCAGTTTAATTTTCTGATGCAGTCCAGTGGGACATATCCAAATTCTTCATATGGGTTACTTTTTCCAGTGGGAAGAAAATACTATGAGAGACTGCTAGAGCTGGATATGCCAAAGGGATTCAGAAAAGAAGGACCACTGTGTAGGCTTATCCCAGGCATCTCCATCCTTCCTTCCACGAGGGGAAGAATTCTGCCAGTTGTGAAACATTTCACACTTGGGGACACCTGCACCTGGTCATTGCTGATCCTGTCTGGTGCTGGTCACTGGCCACTGGCCAATGCCCACTGAACCTGTTGGCATTACGGGTGCAGGTGTAAATCAAAGCCCCGAGTGTCACAGCTAGTAGACTTGCAGGGACTCTAAGACTCTGGCTGCAGCTCTCCAGAGCTCATACCACTTATTCTCAAACTATCTGCAGTCTGTGTGTGTATGCTTATAGCTGAGTGAAATGCAGTGGTCAGTATTAAGCAATCTGAGTGGTATAGCCTCTGCTCTGTTGTTCTGCTCACTTCATTTGGCCTTCAAGTTAACTAATCCTTGTTTTATAATGCTAATTGAATATCTCATCTGGAGATTGCTTGTTGGAAAGGGATTCCATGAAATACTGCTGTTAACAGGACCACTATACTGAAAAAAAGAACTCTTTTTCAAGCAGGCTGAGCATTATCTACCTAACGCTATATTGTGTTCAAAGCTTTTGTGGGAGGACTGATGTTGCTGTGAGGCTGTCAGAAGATAGTGCTTCATGTAGAAGCAGAACATCAATGGGTACTGGCTGTACCACAGAAAATGTTGACATTACAGTTGGAGATTTGTTACAGATCATTATAATTTTTGATTCAAATTTACCAGCTGTCACTATTTGTTGCCTTTTGTTTTGCATTATAGACCATCATAGTTATACACACTGGATCCTTTCCACAGGAAGTCATGTGGAAGATATTCTCCATCCATGAAGGGATATTCAGTCTGTGAGACCAGTTGGTTTGAAGGAATCCCCTTCCAAGCACATGCAGTGTGCTTTCAGGGTCCTCAGAACTAGTTGTTTTGGCGTATCACATCTGTTCTCACTATCTGCACTATTCTAACACAATCAAATAGTCGATGAATTTGAATAATTTGAATAATTTGTCAGTAAATTAAATGCAGTCAGTTCTAAGATAGGTAATGCAGGTTTTAGAAGCTTCTAATCAACAGCACTGTGTTTGCACACTCTGTTATCCTTACACTAAACATGGCAGTTTTTGTGGAGGAGAAAATATGCCGGCATTAAAAAAAAATGATCCATAAGAGCAGTTGCAGAAGGATAATGTGTTTGCCCAGTAAACGCCTTACTGATATGAGTAAAACAAATGCCAAACACAAGACAACTCAAGATCCAATTTCAGGCAGGTGTGTGACTCAGCCCTTCCTCTTTATGTTGATATTACCTGCGGAACACGTACAGGTGTTTTAAGAAGGGGAGCCCCTTTCCAAACGCGGCTGTAATTTGCGCGGTCCCCCACCAGATGTCCCTTTACACAGTCCCTTTACACAGCCCCTTTATTTACACACCGAGCAGTTTTGTTGCCAGCGTGCCAGGGCGTCGTGCCAGGTGTGGTGCCCGAGGTGCCGCTGGCGCTGGGGAGCAGCCGGGGAGCGAGGCAGGGAGGAAGGCACGAACAGCCTCTCCTGCCTGCCCAGGCTGCCACCACCTCTCCCGGCTGATGCTGCTCCCTCCTGCTGCCCTGGCTGCCAGAACGGTGAGCACTGAAAGTTGTTTTGTTTTGTTTTGTTTTGTTTTGTTTTGTTTTGTTTTTTCAGTGGAAAAATCAGAGAGGCTGCATAAGTAATGCAGTTGGAAAGATCTTTTTATTCCTCAACAGGGTGATGCCGTGGCCAAGGTTTTTCTGGGTCAGAGGAACCTGCACAACCAGTATCTTCATACAAACTCCAGGTCCGTCTGCAGCACAAGGAATGGGACAGGCACATAAGGACTCTAAAGTGACCTCTAACAGGCAGATGAAAGAGCCCTGAGGAAGAAGTGGCTGTGGGCAGTGTGAATCAGCAGAAGTGACTGTGCACACCTTCATGCACCCGCTATATGCTAAATCTGTAATAAAATCGACACAGCCCCAGACATGGGCTTTGCCATGCTTGCACATGCAAAGCTTTCCAACCTGCTGCTATTGAGTGTGGTATCCTGTTCTGCTGCTGCTTATGGGGATGAGCCCAGCCTGGGCAAGAGGTCCTTGCCTCACTATGAACATGATTCCAGTGGTGTTGACTCTTCTCAAGACATCAGGCTACATGTTTTCACGGTGGACTATGACTATGTGCAAATTCCCTATGAAGTTACCCTTTGGATCCTCCTTGCCTCTTTTGCAAAAATAGGTAAGTAGAAAATGTGACCTCGGGTACTCCTAACTTTGAAAGAAGTCAAAAAGGGATAATGTAACCAAGTAACTTTCATTCATTTTGTAGCTGGGATTGATTTTATAGCATCTGTCTTCAAAAGAACAGGTGTGTTCATTAGCACAGCAATGCCAAAATTCCACCTTGGAATGATTCCATCTTACTTAAGCTAACATATGACCTCTAGCCTTCATGTCTCTTGGGCTGTGAGTAGCAAATAGCAACAGAGCTCCCTGACATAGTGCTGTCCATTCATTTTCCTAGTCCTTATAGATCACAAGATACTGGAATTTGCAACCTACCACAGCTGTAGAAATCAGTTACACTAGACTGGGACTTCAAGTGTATTGAATTTTGGGGAGAAAGTGTTAAGCATTATTCCTTCATATGAATAAAAGGAAACTTTTCCCTCTGAGTCTTTGTTTTACATATTTTCTCCTTCAAGTTGGTATAAAAAGTAATACCAGGAAGAGAGAATGGGAGTCTCTGAGGGTGTGGATCATCAGAGATGTAGGCTAAGTATCTTTTGAATACATAGCCATGTATCTAGCTTCTCTTAGAGCTCCATATGGGTATCTGAAAGGGGAAAGGCAATTCAGGGAGCAGTAATTTCAGTAGGAACTGTAATCAACATATAGCAAAAAAGGCTCATTGTGCCTTACACATTTTCATGACTGGGCTGAAATTATTTTGACCATTTAGAATTAATGCAGTAATATCAAATAAATGAAGAATAATGGTAATGTGAAGAGTTGCACACGTAAAATCTCCCTTTTCTTTTGATCTTTCTGTGGGATTTTCAAACTTTTCCTTAGAACAAGCTGGTAGGTGAGACTGGTGTTTTTTCTGGAGGTGGCCTGAAGATAAACATTTTTCTTGTCATAGTCACCCAGCTGACAAAAATCATTACCACTATCCATAATTTACCAGTTTCATTGTAGCTGATGCCCTCAATCTGATTCTTACAAATGTGTTCACTGGTAGGATAACAATCAAAATTTTCACAAATAAAATTTGTTATGGCATCAGTAGAATGTGTTAATAGTAAATATATTTACCAAATTCTTTATTTATCATCCATAATAGCACAGGACTTGACACATGGCACATCTACACAATATTCTTGTTTTGAACATGAAATAGATACTTTAGAAGAATTGTATGATGCCTGCCAGGTGGAGTTTTCAAATAATATTATTTTTTGATGAAAAGTGTGGCGCTGTTGATTTTAAATATATTTGGAAGAAAGAGTCTGAATAATCTGGTGACCCTTGGAAGAAGATTTCGAAACTGTTAAAGTTGTCAGTGTTTTATTCAGGTATTATCTTCTTTCTGGGTTTCAAGATTTAAGGGTGGGACACAGTTCCAGAATCTTGAAAGGTAAAACAATCCCCTTATCTGCAAGACTGACAGAAGACTTTTAAATTAAAAAGCAGATGAGTAGAGTTACGTTATAAACATACCTCTTGGTAAAAAGAAAAAAGTAGTGTCCTAAAAAAATTATTGAAACTTTCATTAAAATATTTTTATGTTCCTTTGCTTTTGAAGACTGATAATTCAAGGGTCACAGAAATACTGTCATGGTTGAACCTTCTAGAGTTGCAAGATGAAGGCTGACCTAGCTTCAAGCATGGAGTCACAGACATTGGATTTAAAGTTTCTTAGTTGGCCTCATTCTCATTCTCGTAAATTTTAAAAAATGCTGCATTTTTAGTACAGGCACAACTCATTCACAGTATGATATAGTTCCTTATGTAGTGACTAGGTGAGTAGCAGGTGGGCAGTAAGGATTCTTGAAGAATATTTTCTTTCCAAATTGTGGAGGATCATTCAAAGAAGTTTCTGCCTTCCCAGAAGTGGAGCTTAAACTCAGGCATGCTTGCTCACCAATCAGGAGCTGGGCAGCAGGAAAAGAAGAAATTCATGGTCAAACTCTTGCCTTGCTTTAGTGATACAAGCGTGGGAATGTTTAGTTTTGAAGGGAACAGTACTGCCTATTTTTACCTTCACAATCCTTAGAACAAAACTGTCTGTCTGAAGACAAAGTGTCCAAACACAGGCAAGACAATTGTCTGACATCAGGTTAATTTAAACTTGAATAATTGCCTAATGTTTTATTCAAGGTTTCCATATCTTTCACCGATTACCAAGACTTATGCCTGAAAGCTGCATCCTGATTGCCATTGGAGCACTAGTAGGAGCAATCATCTTTGTTTCCCATCACAAATCTCCACCAGTGATGAACACTAGTATTTACTTCTTGTATCTCCTTCCACCCATTATTCTGGAGGAGGGTTATTTCATGCCGACTCGACCATTTTTTGAAAACCTTGGATCCATTCTGTGGTGGTCTGTTCTGGGATCTCTGCTAAACTCATTTGGGATTGGCCTCTCCCTCTATGGAGTCTGCCAGATTGAAGCCTTCGGCCTGACTGACCTGAACCTGCTGCAGAACTTGCTCTTTGGCAGCATGATTTCAGCAGTGGACCCCGTGGCAGCTCTGGTAGTTTTTGAAGAAGCCTCTGTTAATGAGCAGCTTTACATGATGATCTTTGGAGAGTCATTGCTAAATGATGGCATAACTGTGGTGAGTTTCTTTCTGCTCCCTGTTTTCCCCTCTTTGGACTCTTGTGGCTTGTAGGGTCACTGGGCACAGGAAAAGAACAGCTCAAAGGAGATCCTAATACGTTATTTTATGGATACTCTACGCAATTGCATGCAAGAGTTTTTAGTGTAGGCAAAAATGATATATTACCTCTTTCCAAACCATGTATTTTAGAGATGCTGGAAGAGGGAAACACACACATATGTGTGAGATGTGCTCTTGCATTCACTGAATGAATGGATAAGCTACAACTGATTTTCCTGGTCAGATCAGTGTAGGACCTTGGAATGTTCTTGACATTGTGCAAGCAAATAAACAGAGAATTCTACTGCTTAAGGACTAAAGGCAGCAAGGGTAGAAATGCAGGAGACCCTACTTTGTCATATACCTGAGAGAGTCCTCTGGAAAAAAAAGGCAAACCAGATGTGGATAACCTCTGGAGGCCACATTCTATCCTCCAGCCCCTTCCAGAAATATCACCAGAGACCTTAGACAGGAATTCCAAATGCCACTAAGAGCTTTGCATAACTCTGTTTCTATCAGTAAAAACATTGACATCTGACAAATGTTTGCCTTTTTTGGCTGTCTTGTCATAAATACCCAGAAACAATGTTTCTTGAAGAAGAGAGATTTGTTTGGTGGTTGTTGTTTGTTGTTGGTTTTTTTGTTTATAATAGAAGAGTGTTTTTACACAGCTCTTTTTGCTAATATTTTTCCCCCCCCTTATCTCATTAGTTCTGCTAAAATTGGAGCAAACTGAAATCGTAGCTGTAAGCAGAAGTGACAAGAACATTTAAAACGTGTTTTTCAAGGAAGAAATTTCAAGCAGGAAATTTATTGCTCAGAAACCAACAGGACTGCTCATGTGGTACAAGTTAACAGCAGGTTAAGGAATTCCACTAGATAAGATCTTTACAGAATTTAAATCGCAGGAATCTAAAACACATAAAAGCTACTCAGATACTGCTATACATGAGCCCACTTTGGACTTGTAAAATCTGTACAGAGTTCACTGCTGAAAGGCTTCATGGGAGAAGTGCAGTTTATGAGCACTGAGAAAAGGAAAAGAAGCAAAGTAACTTCTTGCAGCCACAGTCTAAGGATCACGAATCCTTCCACTTGGACATCAGAGATACAGGGCTGATGTACAACTGTGGGGCAAGTGCAATTTAATTTACATTCAAGCTACTTGGGTGCTACAATTGTAACAGAAAAATCCCCCATACCTCT